GATAATAGAATAGTAGAGAATTAATAAGAATTAGGAGTGTTTGGGTAGTAATATAGTAGATAATAAATAATAGGATTTAATTTTTAATTAAAAAATTTAAAAATTTGAGAATTTGACACCTTAGCAAATTAATCTAAAAATGTTTCTCCTTTAATATATAGATGATCTATGTCAAATCTTCCATTTATAATAAGCTATATAACGCGTTAGAAAAAATTAGAAAGTAAAAATAAAATTAATTTGAATTATACTTTTATTATGAGTATAGAATAGAAGAAATGAGAGAAAATAATAAGACTAAAATTTCATAGATGTAAATGTAAATTTGGAATAGTTGGATCGTCACGATTGGGTTATCCCCAACGTTATTAAAAGGTTTCTTCTGATTTAAATTCCATGCAACATTTGTATAACTATGAAGCCATATAAAGATTCCACTTCAAACTTGGTTTCTCCACCGCTATTAAAATTAATGTCATAATATGTAAAATGATTATGAACTTAATTAAGAGCCTTAATAAACATTTTAACAGCTACGTCGATACTTCTAATTTTTCAGTTGGGCAATATCATTATGGATTCAACTTAATTAGAATTATCAAGACGTGGTACCAATACCAACCTGAAATCTACTTTTATAAAATGTTAATTGTCGTCGAAGAAACAATTTCTATTATTAGTTATAACATGATACGTGAGGGCTTGAATAATTCTACACCTGATAATTTAGTCATTTCTTCGTGAAATAACGCTAAGTCAACATCAAACATTACAAAAGTATAAATTAATTAAGCAAGTCAAAGTCTGTTTTTTCTCAGGGGTAAATTTATTTTATAATTGCGTTATTCTAACTCCCACCGTCGCTAAGAAGATCAATGAATCATAATACATAATTTATGTACTCAATTAACAATTTTNACAACCAAACAAAACATAATAAAATCGTGGGACATTTTAAAAAAAAGTACTTTTACAACTACAAATTTGATATTGGATTCGACC